CGCAATCACCCATGGCAGGAGAAGATTACACATTTATTAGAGTGCAGCACTGGGCCTTTCAAGTCAACACAGGAAAAACACCAAGTCATTCCTCAGGTATACATCGATAGGATTTACCGTACACCAGCTTGAAGGTAAAATTATGCCCCAAACACGGAATTCTCCTTCGTTTATGAGATTATTGAGGCCCCAAAAGAATAGACCCCCTTTATTCAAAGCTTCACGTCACAATGAAGGCTTCACGTCACGTTCCAAGGAAGGTGGAAGAGGGAGAATCAATCAGGTGACTTTCTGAGTGGACTCAAAAGTCACTTTGTGGCTTTTGAGGTGCCTTGAAAAAAATTGAAGCTCCATGTCACGCGTCCCGAGCAGGCAGAAGGGAGAGAGCCAATCAGTGCACGCCAAGCGTGTAGAGAATGAAGGCATAGCGGAGCGCCACGTCAGCAAGGCGATCGAACCTGCGGCAAGAAAAGACAGAAGACGGGCGAGTCCTGGCTTCCATATGTGACTTTTGAGTCGACTCAAAAGTCACCTCGTTACAATGGCAACCTGCGGCAAGAAAAGACAGAAGACGGGCGAGTCCTGGTTTCCATATGTGTAGCGAACATGCAACACTGCTGCCATTACTTATCATCTTTTAGGCAACTTTTCTTTGGGCGCCTAAAGGTCGTCTTCAACGTGGAGGTCCCTCACTCCACTCACACCCTCACTCACCCTCACTCACTCGCTCTCACACACTCACTCACTCACGCACCTCCCTGTCTTGCTGAAACGCCCAGCGTCCATCTCACAGTGCAGCAGCACCACCGAGTTACTGCTTGTGTTGGCGTCTCTCTCGCTCTCACTCCCTCACTCACCCCCCCCCCTCACTCCCTCACTCATTCGCTCACTCCCTCACTCACCTCCCTGTTTTGCTGAAGTGTCCAGCGTCCATTTCACACCGCGGCAGCACCGCCAAATTACTGCTAGTGTTGGCGTCTCACTCGCTCTCACTCCCTCACTCACCCCCCCCCCCCCCCCTCACTCCCTAACTCCCTCACTTACCTCCCTGTCTTGATAAAGTGCCCGGCGTCCATCTCACACCGCGGCAGCACCACCGAATCACTGCTTGTGTTGGCGTCTCTGCACTCCCTCCCCCAATTTATTCCTCCCTCCCTCGTTCACTCACCTCCCTGTCTTGCTAAAGTGCCCAGCGTCCATCTCACACCGGAGCAACACCAACGAATCATTGCTTGTGTTGGCGTCTCTTAATCGTGCCACCCACTTGGCTGGCTCCCAGTAGTTCACTCTCTGGTCTGCGAGTGTTGGCAACAAGGGAAGGAGGAGGGCGTGGGATGAAGCATGAGAGGGCACGTGCAAAAGTCCAGGTGCTGTTGGCTTTTGAGGCATTTCACAGCGCAGCAGCACCACCGAATCACTGCTGGTGTTGACGTTTCTCAGCCTCGCCACCCACTTGGCCGGCTCCCAGTCATTGACTCTTTGGTCTGCCACGGGAAGGAGGGAGGGAGGGAGGGGGAGACAGTCGAACCATGAAAGGAAGTTCAAATGCTGCTGGTGTTGGCGTCACTCAGCCTTGCCACCCATTTGGCCAGCTCCCAGTCATTGACTCTCCGTTCTGACTGAGATGGATAGAGGTGACTTTTGAGTCGACTCAAAAGATGGATAGGCTTTTGAGGCGCCTCAAAAGTCACTCAGGCTTGCCACTCATTTGGCCGGTTCCCAGTCATTGACTCTCTGTTCTGACCGAGATGGATAGAGGTGACTTTTGAGTCGACTCAAAAGATGGATAGGCTTTTGAGGCGCCTCAAAAGTCACTCAGCCTTGCCACCCATTTGGCCGGCTCCCAGTCATTGACTCTCTGTTCTGACCGAGATGGATAGGGATAGAGATGGAGAGACAGCACGTGAACGAAAGTCAGCTTACTAGGAGCGAAGCAATGGCTAGGCAATTACGTTAAGAAAGACGTGGGAATTCTACGAAAATGAAAATGTCTGAGATTTATCAGAAGTGAAAATATCAACTTACCATGGAGCGAAGCAGTGGCAAGGATGTTGGGGTAAGCCTGGGGCTTCACCTGTGGAGAAGGAGAAGCAGCAGCAGAGGAGCAGAAGAGAGAGGACGGATGGGGTAAAAAGCGCACGGAAGAGTGCATGAGCCGGTAAGAGTAGAAATTATAAGTCAGCAATATACGGGAGCATAAGAGTTACCCAGTTCTCTCAGTCAATTATGATGTCTCCTTGTTTCTCCTCGCAATTTATGCACAAGTCAATTTAAAAGAGATAAGGAGCTTACATTGTCAACAGGAGAATACGACTTGATGTAGTGATAATACTGTTCCTCCTGGGGGTTGCCCCACTCCTGCTTGCCACACACAACAACCACACACAACCGCACAGAACCACAACCAACCATGCAGAACCACATACAACACATGCACACAAGTTGCATCGAGCAGAGGTCAGGAGAGCACCGTAACAAACGGCACTCTTGAGTAATCTCACATGCCCTCCCCCCTCCCACTGCACACATTCTTTAGGCGCCTCAAATATGGAATCACAAGCCTACCCGCTTCCCACAGCCCAAACACCAAACACCTCCCGCTCCTGCTCAGTGATCGTGAGTGGTGGGAAGGGATGCTGAACCTACCTACCACAGCACACATTCTTTAGGCGCCTCAAATATGGAATCACAAGCCCACCCATTTCCCACAGATGACTTTTGAGTCGACTCAAAAGTCACGTCATCTCACATGCCCTCCCCCCTCCCACTGCACACACATTTTAGGCGCCTCAAATATGGACTCACAAGCCCACCCGCTTCCCACAGCCCACCCGCTTCCCACAGCCCACCCGCTTCCCACAGCCCACTCGCTTCCCACAGCCCACTCGCTTCCCACAGCCCACTCGCTTCCCACAGCCCACTCGCTTCCCACAGCCCACTCGCTTCCCACAGCCCACTCGCTTCCCACAGCCCACCCAAACACCTCCCGCTCCCGCTCAGTGATCGTGAGTGGTGGCAAGGGATGCTGAAGTGTATTTTGAGGCGCCTTAAAATACACCTCAAATATGGACTCACAAGCCCAACCGCTTCCCACAGCCCACCCAAACACCTCCCGCTCCCGCTCAGTGATAGTGAGTGGTGGCAAGGGATGCTGAACCCACCTCCCACTCTGTGATTGTGAGATGCAGTGAAGCGTCCAGCATGGTGGAGAGCACATCAACGAACGACCAGGTTTGAATGTGTGATTAGGAGACTCACGGCCTACCCACCCACCCACCCACCGACCCACCCACCTCCCACTCGGTTATTGTGAGGTGCAGAGAAGCGTCCAGCATGGTGGAGAGCACATCAACGAGCGTCAGGTAAGGGGATGCCTATACAGCAAGACCAATGGCCAATCACCCACCTCCCACAGCCCACCCACCTCCCACAGCCCACCCACCTCCCATTCAGTGATGGTGAGATGCAACGAGGCGTCCAGCATGGTGGAGAGCACATCAACACACACACGGCATGGCAGCGTGTTTATGTGGTAAGGCGGATGGGCATACAACAACACAGTGTACCACCCACCTCCCACTCGGTTATTGTGAGGTGCAGTGAAGCGTCCAGCATGGTGGAGAGCACATCAACGAACGGCACGCCAGCCACGGCCGATCGGAACAGATCCGGCCGTTCGTTCACGGCTGCCCCCACGGGTATGCCCCCTGCTGACCTGCCTTCCAGGGCCAATCGGTCTGGAGTGGTGAGGCTGGGTACAGGAAGGTAGGGAGAGGGCCGGAATGAAGGCATAGGGACGGTGAGGTAAGTACTGAGGAGCACTCAGGATGGCTTGAGAAGCCTCAAAGTGGGAGAAGCAAAAGGTTCTAGTGGCTGGTTCTTCGGCTACTTTTAAGAGTTCTCAAGCAAACAATTTGGCTGGTACATTCTTTGGCTATGGCGACTGTGCCCCTTGTGGTCTACCCTGCTGTTCCACATTCCTTCGCACACTCTCGCCCACTCTATACCTCACTCACTCCCTCACTCACTCACTCCCTCACTCACTCACTCGCTCCCTCATTCTCTCCCCCACTCTCTCCCTCCGTCCCTCCCTTCCCTCACTCACTCACCCTTCCGTGATCAGGTGTTCGGCACACACAGTCACATCCCACGCCGTGTGGGTGGCAAGAAAGTGCCTCTTTTCATCACTCGTCCTTTGAGGCATCTCCAAAATACTTCACAAAGCCCTCATTCACCCCCTCCCTCTCTTCCCTCACTCCCTCCCTTCCCTCACTCCCTCACTCACTCCCTCCCTCCCTCACTCACTCCCTCACTCACTCACCCTTCCTTGATCAGGTGCTCGGCACACGCAATCACATCCCACACCGTGTTGCTGGCAAATGCCTCTCTCGATAACTCACCCCTTGAGACATCTCCAGAATACTTCACAAGGCACTCATTCGCTCCCTCCCTCTCTTCCCTCACTCCCTCCCTTCCCTCACTCACACCCTCATTCCCTCACTCCCTCCCTTCCCTCACTCACTCCCTCATTCCCTCACTCCCTCCCTTCCCTCACTCACTCCCTCATTCCCTCACTCCCTCACTCACTCACTCCCTCACTCACTCACTCCCTCATTTACTCACTCCCTCACTCACTCCCTCACTCACTCACCCTTCTTTGATCAGGTGCTCGGCACACGCAATCACATCCCACACCGTGTTGCGCTTTCTCAGAAGCTTCCCGTCTAGGTACCACTGATAGTCCCAGTCGCCTCCTCCCCTCACATGCGCAATCGCCACAGCCACCCCTCGATCAAGCAGTGAGAGACGGTCGGGGGAGAAAGAGAGGCGCGAGGGCACCTGGGGAGAGACAGGGAGGGAGGGCAGGAGAGAGGGATTGAGATACTTGGTTAGTCACTGATAGTCCCAGTCGCCCCACTGTCCCTACAGAAGGGAGGGTGGGGGGACAGTAGAGAGAAAGAGGTAAGTCGATTCCCAGTCCCCTCTTCCCCTCACATGCGCTATCGCCACGGCCACCCCTCGATCAAGCAGGGAGAGGCGATCGGGGGAGAAAGAGAGGCGCGGGGGCACCTACAGAAGGGAGAGGGTGGGGTGAAAAGAGAGAGCGTATGTTTTTTGGGAATTCTCAAGAGAGAGAAAGAGGTCGCCCGGTCGCCCCTGCCCCCCCTCACATGGGCTATCGCAAGTACCACTGATAGTCCCAGGCAGCAGCATCAGGAGAGTCAGTGGGAGCACTGGCAGCACTGCAAGCGCTGCAGCGATGGACGAGTGAGATGGGCACTTGAGTGCCGCCTGCTGCTGCTGCTGCTGCTGCCGTGCATTGATTCTAACCGCGCGCCGTACAAGTAGATTCCACTCACCTCATATGCGCCATAGGCATAGAGCAGCATGGGCCAAGGCGGGTCGCTGGCAGCACCGGCAGCACTGCAAGCGCTGCAGCGATGGACGAGCGAGATAGGCACTTGAGTGCCGTCTGCTGCTGCTGTGCACCGACCCTCACCTCATAAGCACCGTAGGCGTAGAGCAGCATGGGCCAAGGGGGCCCACTGCAGGCAGCAGCATCAGTAGAAACGCTGGGAGCGCCGGCAACATTGGCAGGGGTGTTGCGATGGACGAGCGATATGGGCATTTGTGTGCCGTCTTTTGCGGTGGCGAAGAGACGGCGAGAGGAGTAAAGGGAGGGGTCAAAGGATGGACCGACCTGTACGGGAGAGAGATATAGGGGGAGGGAGATGTGGGGATGGGGAGACGGAGAGAACATGCTTGAAGAGCAGTGTTGCAACTTGTGTGCCGTCTGCTGCCGTGGCGAAGAGACGGCGGGAGGAGTAGAGTGAGGGGTCAATGGATGGACCGACCTGTACGGGAGACAGTGATTCTCAAGAACATTCCCCTCTCTCGTAGTACTAGGCATGGACCGTATGCGAGACGAGAGAGGGGAATGTTCTTGAGTCGACTCAAAAAAGGACAAAAAAAACAGAATTGCATACTATTAGTAGGTATGGACTCTATGCGAGACGAGAAAGGGGAAGGAGAAGCAAAGACACTCACCCAGTCGACCTTCCTAGCCGCCTGCCTGTCTGAGTCCATGTCTCTTTCGAACACAGTGGTGGGGTTGACGAGGGAAGAGAAGGAGAAGCGGAGGAGAGGCAAATCACGCCGGCACAACCACCACACCCACCACACTTGCAACCCACACTCACCCAGTCGACTTTCCTAGCCGCCTGCCTGTCTGTGTCCATGTCTCGTTCGAACACGGTCGTGGGGGTAAGCAGGGAGGAGAAGGAGTAGCGGAGGAGGGGCGACTCAAACCGGCACAACCACCACGCCATCCATACCGTACCACACCACACCCACCATACCCAACAAACCCACCACACACACAAACACACCCACCACACCCACCAAACCCACCACACACACAAACACACCCACCACACCCACCAAACCCACCACACACACAAACACACCCACCACACCCAACAAACCCACCACACACACAAACACACCCACCACACCCACCACACCGCAAACACACTCACCCAGTCGACTTTCCTCGCAGCCTGCCTGTCTGTGTCCATGTCTCGTTCGAACACAGTCGTGGGGTTGACTAGAGAGGAGGAGAAAACCCACTCACGCTCATGCATACGCCCGCCACATCCACAACACACACTCACCCAATCCACCTTCCTCGCAGCCTGCCTGTCTGTGTCCATGTCTCGCTCGAACACAGTGGTGGGGGTGACGAGGGAGGAGAAGGAGTAGCGGAGGAGCGGCGATTCGAACCGGCACACCCACCACGCCATACCACACCATACCACACCACACCCATCATACAGTCATCGTGCACACACCACACCGCAAACACACTCACCCAGTCGACCTTCCTAGCCGCCTGCCTGTCTGTGTCCATGTCTCGCTCGAACACAGTGGTGGGGGTGACGAGGGAGGAGAAGGAGTAGCGGAGGAGAGGCGACTCGAAGCGGCTTCTGAGGGCCCGGATCTCGTATGCTGCTTCGTCGAATTCCACCCTGTTGACGGCGCAAGGCACAACAGCAAGAGGGAACGGTTGAGAGTGGAGGAAGGAAAAGGGGCTTGGATTGCGCTGGTGGCTACCGAAACGACTTAAACGGGCTCCGGAGGGTCGGATCTCGTATGCTGCTTCGTCGAATTCCACCCTGTTGAAGGCAAAGCAAGGAGACAGGGTGGTGGGAAGAGTATGAGGTAACACATTGCGAGGTGAGTCAAACCGCTTCTTAGGGCCCGGATCTCGTATGCTGCCTCGTTGAATTCCACCCTGTCAAAAGGCGCGCGCGAGAGGGAAAAGGTGAGGGAGGAGGAAGGAAAAGGGGCATTAGATTGCGCCGGTGTCTTTCGAGTCGACTCAAACCGGCTTCTTAGTGCCCAAATCTCCTATGCTGCTTCGTTAAAGTCCATCCACCCTGTACAGCAACAGGCAAGGCAACAACAGCAGGAGGGCATGGGTAGAATGGACAGAGGGGCAACTCAAACCGGCTTCGTATGGGCTGAGGAAGAAGAAGGGCGAGATCTCGTGCATTGATTTGATCTGTTAATTAGTCCACCTGAACAAAAAGGAATTTCATTCATATGAAGTCATATGCTGGCCAAAGAGCAAGAGGGAAAGGGTGGTGGAAGAAGAAAACATATACTTGCTTTGGTGGGAGGCTGGGAGCTCACAGTTTGGCATCTTCAGGTGCAGGAGAGCCGTCGGATCGCAAGGGGATGCATCTGATCCGTTGGAGCCCCTTCACCCTCTCAAAAACGACCACGTGGCGCTTGAAGGCCGTCACTGATTGGAGCTTCACACTGAAGAGTCGAAACAAAGAGTCGAAGGGAGAAGGGGACGGAGGTTTAGGGTTTGGGTTCAAAGTTGTGAGTTTGGGGTGAGAAAAAAACGATCACGTGCCACTTAAAAGTCACTGATTGGAGCTTCACACTGCTGGGTGAAAAACATACAGTAGAGGGTAAAAGAAAGACGGGGGTTTCAGGAGTTCAGGGTTTGGGGTTTAAGGCTTGAGACATCTCAAAACTCTCATAAAGGCCGCCACTGATTGGAGCTTCACACTTGGGGGTCAAAACCGTACAGCAGAGCAGATGGCAGATAGAAGGCGACGGGGGTGAGGGTTTAGGGTTTAAGGTCCCACCTGGGGCCATGTGGGAGAATCACTGAGGGCTCTACATCCTTGGCTGCAGCAGTAGCAACAGCAGGAGCATCGGCAGCAGGAGCAGCAGCGGCAGCATCAGCCGCAGCATCAGCAGAAGCATCGAGCAGAGCAGTGGGGCCAGGACGAGGTGTGGAGAGCGGCAGGGCGAGGAGGTCTGAGTTCCAGAGGTGAGCGGAGCGGTTTGAATCACTCACCTGGGATCATGTGGCAGCACCACCGAGGGCTCTACAGCCTCGGCAGCAGGCAGAACATCAGCAAGAGGCAGAGCAGTGGGGCCAGGACGAGGTGTGGAGAGCGGCAGGGCGAGGAGGTCTGAGTTCCAGAGGTGAGCGGAGCGGCGGAGGAGGAACAAGTGCAACCCGCTGTGATCTGTCTGTCTGGCTCACCTGGGATCGTGTGGGAGAACCACCGAGGGCTCTACAGCCTCAGCTGCAGTAGCAGCAGCAGCAGCAGAAGTGGCATCAGCAACAGGCAGCGCGAGGAGCTCCGAGTTCCGCATCTGGTCGGAGCGGCGGAGGAGGAAGAAGTGCAACCCGCTGTGGTCTGTCTGGCTCACCTGGGATCGTGTGGGAGAACCACCGAGGGCTCTACAGCCTCAGCTGCAGGAGCAGCAGCAGCAGCAGCAGCAGCAGCAGTGGCATCAGCAACAGGCAGCGCGAGGAGCTCCGAGTTTCGCATCTGGTCGGAGCTGTTTGTCTCACTCACTCACCTGGGGTCATGTGGCAGCACCAATGAAGGCTCTACAGCAGCAGCAGCAGCAGCAGCAGCAGCAGTGGCATCAACAACAGGCAGCGCGAGGAGCTCCGAGTTTCGCATCTGGTCGGAACGGCGGAGGAGGAAGAAGTGCGACCCGCTGTGGTCTCCATACACCTCCACGTTCTGAATGGTGGTGGGGGGGGGGGGAGTGGAGAGGGGGAAAAGGCTTTTGAGGAGTCCCATGTGGCGAGGAGGTCTGAGTTCCAGAGGTGGGGGAGCGGCGGAGGAAGAAGTGCAACCCGCTGTGGTCTCCATATACCTCCACGTTGACGTCTAAGAAGACACCTCCACGTTCTGAAGAAGGCGAGGGGGCGGGTGGGTGGGGTGGGGGGGAAAAGACATTTGAGGAGTCCCATGTGGCGAGGAGCTCCGAGTTCCAGAGGAGGGGGGAAGAAGTGCGAGCCGCTGTGGTCCCCTTTTGAGACGTCTCAGAAGACACCTCCACGTTCTGAAGAACGCGAGGGGGCGGGTGGGTGGGGTGGGGGGGAAAAGACATTTGAGGAGTCCCATGTGGCGAGGAGCTCCGAGTTCCAGAGGTGGGGGAGCGGCGGAGGAAGAAGCGCAACCCGCTGTGGTCTCCATACACCTCCACGTTCTGAGGAAGGGGGTGGGGGAGGGGTGGGGGGAAAACGACTTTCGACGGCGAGGAGCTTTGATTTCCAGAGGTGGGGGGAGCGGGCGGAGGAGAAAGAATCGCGAGCCGCTGTGGTCTCCATACACCTCCACGTTCTGAAGGTGGGGAGGGATGGGGGAGGGAGGAGCAGAAGGGGGATTAGATGAGAAACGAATCAAGAGGGGGAGGAGGAAGAAGCGCGAGCCGCTGTGGTCTCCATACACCTCCACGTTCTGAAAGGGGTGAGAGAGAGCAGGGGAGAGGCGGAGGGGACAGGGGTGAAGAGGCGAGGAAAAGAGGGCACAAAGGCTCCTGAAGGAGCGGCGGAGGAGGAAGAAGCGCGAGCTGCTGTGATCCCCATACACCTCCACGTTCTGAGGAAGGCGAGGGGGGGATAGGGAGAAATGGGAGAGAGGATGGGCAAATGCTGCAAAGGGGAGAAGGGAGCTCCGAGCCCTGGAGTTGGGGGGAGCGGCGGAGGAGGAAGAAGTGCGAGCCGCTGTGATCCCCATACACCTCCACGTTCTGAGGAATGCGAGGGGGGAGGGGTGGGGGGAGAGGAGAGGGAGGAAGAGGGGTTGAAGGCTGAGAGGGGAGGGAAAGACGTCTTGGAAGACAAAAAGGCAGAGGCGAGATGACTTTTGAGTCAACTCGGAAGACAAAAAAGAGGAGGCGGAGCGGCGGAGGCGGAGCAGCAGAGGCAGAGAGGATCACACTTCTTCCTCCGCCTCCAACTTCGCCTCCGCCGCTGCCGCTCCAAATGTAATGAGGTTATTTTTTAGACGTCTCAAAAATAACCTCATTACACGTGGCAGAGAGGATCACACTTCTTCCTCCGCCTCCGCCTCCGCCTCTGCCGCTGCCGCTCCAAATGAGTTCCACCAAAGGTAGGCGGAGCGGCGGAGGAGGAAGCAGTGCGAGCCGCTGTGGTCTCCACTCCATATACCCCCACTTTCTGAACGCAACAGAACATACTATGCAGCAGCAGCCTATGCAGGTGGCTGGTCTGTTCTAGTACTCACATGCACTTTCGGCACGAGCTGCCTTGGAGGGTCAAACGGCCTTCGAACGTCGATTGCCAGCAGAAACGAAGTCACAACCAACCCACACATGCACCCACGTGCACCCACGTGCACCCACGTGCACCCACGTGCACCCACATGCACCCACGTGCACCCACGTGCACCCACGTGCACCCACATGCACTGCGCTAGTACTCACATGCACCCACATGCACTGCGCTGCGCTAGTACTTACATGCACCCACATGCACTGCGCTGCGCTCGTACTTACATGCACCCACGTGCACTGCACTGCGCTAGTACTCACATGCACCCACGTCCACCCACGTGCACTGCACTAGTACTTACATGCACTCTTGGCACGAGCTGCCTTGGAGGGTCGAACGGTCTTTGAACATCGATTGCCAGCAGAAAGGACGTCACAGCCAACGCACACCCACACGCGCACAACAACAACACATGCATGCACACAGCAACCCACGTAGGTACAACACTCTATATGGTACTCACATGCGCCTTCGGCATGAGTTGTCTGGGAGGATCAAAAGGCTGTTGAACGTCAATCGCCAGCAGAAAGGACGTCACAGCCGACCCACACGTGCACTGCACTAGTACTTACATGCACTCTTGGCACGAGCTGCCTTGGAGGGTCAAACGGTCTTTGAACATCGATTGCCAGCAGAAAGGACGTCACAGCCGATCCACATGTTATCATAATGAATCGGTCCGAAGACGTGCGGTGAACACCAACGTCAAACGCCTCGTCCTTTTCGAAAAAGACGCAAGCGTCCTGAGAGACCGGCGTGCCGATGACGTGGCGCATGACGGAGCACGGGCGGTCTTTTTCGTCCTGAGCGACGTAGAAGAGCGTCTGGTTGTCATCCGCCCAGCACACTTCCCCACTTGTCCCAAACCCCGATGTGATTACGTCTGTATCTGCTGCTGCTAATGCTTTTGCTGCTGTTGCAGCTGCTGCTCCTGCTTCTGCTGCTGTTACTGCTGCTGCAGGTATTGACCGGCCTTCAGGTGATCTCCCTGCTGCTGCTGCTGCTCCTCCTGACACTCTTTCTGCTTCTTCTGACGCTCTTCCTGCTGCTGACTCAGCCGGTGCTGAATCAGGAGGCACTGAAAATAGTCCTGCTGAAGCCGCAGCAGCAGCAGCAGAACTAGAGCAAATAGGCCGCACATGGATAGTGTACCTCTCGTCCCCCCTCGTGTCAATACTATATGCCACGAACCCATGGTTTGGGCTCACAACAACACTATCAATGTGGAAGAAGCTTCGCCCCTCCGCCTCCCTGTTCTCGTCTAAAACTACCTCCTCCAAAACCCCTTCATCCATGCTCTCCGAAAAATAGTCTCTGTGTTCGTAAGAAAGTGCTTGTTCCTCCTGTTTAGCCTCCTTCTCCTCCCTTACTTCTTCTCTCATACCTTCCCTGCTGCTGCTCCTGCCTGCTGCTGACAATTCTGCAGCTGCTCTCCTGCAGTGGATGGGATACTGTTTACCCTCCTCTTCTCGGGTGTAATACCAGAAATTACCCTTCCTTAGAGGAACACTCCTGTCCTCCTGCTTCACTCGCGCCTTCATCTCCCCTTCTAGTAGCACCCGCAGGGACACACCCTCTCTCTCCCCTTTCATCTCTCCCCCACCTCCCATTTCTCCTTTCTCCCCCGTACACGCCATGTCTCCATCACTACACGGAGGCAATAGGGCGTCCGTGAACGCATTTTCTGCCGCCAAATACGCCAGGACTTGCGGATTCTCGCGCCTCTCGTCTCTCAGCCAGTGGTGGGGGTCGTCCCGCACGTCCCCAAACATTGGGGGGAAAGAGAATGGCACCTTGGCGCACCTGATGGGGGAAAGGGGAGGGGAAGGGGAGGGGGAGGGGGAGGGGGAGGGGGAGAGGGAGGGGAGAGGCAGGGGGATTGGGGGAGAGCAGAAGGTGAGGGCGCCTCTCGTCTCTGGGCCAGTGGTGGGGGTCATCCCGCACGTCTCCAAACATTGGGGGAAAGAGAATGGCACCTTGGCGCACCTGATGGGCGCAGGGAGAAAGGGGGAGCGGGAAGCGGGGAGGAGGCGGGAGAGGCAGGGGGAGAGCAGCGGGTGAGGGCGCCTCTCGTCTCTGGGCCAGTGGTTGGGGCTGTCTCACACGTCTTTTTGAGACGTCTCAAAAACAACCTCGCTTCACGTGGCTTCTCGTGACTGGGCCAGTGGTTGGGGCTGTCTCACACGTCTCCGGACATCGGGGGGAACGAGAAGGGCACCTTGGCGCACCTGATGGTGGGAAGAGCAGGGGGAGCGGCAGGGGAGGGCGGAGAGCAGAGGGAGAGGGGGAGGGGGGAGAAAAGAGCAGAAGCAGTGAGGGGGGTTACAGCGCCAGTGGTGGGGGTCGTCCCGCACGTCTCCGAACATAGGGGGGAAGGGAGAATGGCACCTTGGCGCACCTGATGGGCGGAAGGGATGGGGGAGGGACAGGGGGAGGGGCAGGAGGAGGGGGGAGGAGGAGGGGGAAGGGAGGGGAAAGGGGAGGGGGAGGAGAGGGGAAGGGGGAGGGGGACGGGGAGGGGGAGGGGAGGGGGAGGGGGGAGGGGGAGGGGGAGGGGGGAGGGGGGAGGGGGAGGGGGAGGGGGAGGGGGAGCGGGAGGGGGAGGTGGGGGATGGGGGGGGAGGGGGAGGGGGAGGGGGGAGGGGGAGGGAAAAGGGGAGGGGGAGGGGGGAGGGGGGAGGGGGGAGGGGGAGGGAGGAGGGGGGGAGGGGGGAGGGGAGGGAGGGGGGGGGGGGGAGGGGGAGGGGAGGAGAGGGGGAGGGAGAGGGGAGGTGGAGGGGGGAGGGGAGAGGGAGGGGGTCTTCCCGCACTTCCCCAGACATTTGGGGGAAGGAAATGGGAACCCTGGCGCACCTGATGGGCGGAGAGGGAGGGGGAGGGGGCGGGGGAGGGGCGGGGGGTGGAGAGAGGGGGAGGGGAGAGGGCGGAGGGAAGAGGGGAGAGGGAGATGAGTGGGAGATGGAGAGGGTGGTGGGGGGAGAAGAGCAAGGGAAATAGGGATGAGGAGAGGATGAGCAAGAGAGAGAGGGAGAGAGGAGGGAGTTTGGGAGGGGGATATGAGGGGGAGAGGAGGAGGACAAGAGCTCTTACATGGGAGCCTTTGTTTCTTTAGCACGCTTCCAAAACCCCCATCAATCTAGCACGCTAGAACCCCCATCATTCTCCTCCGCAAAACGCGCCAGAACCCCCGCCATTCGCCTCTGAAGGAATGCACTGCACACTATGAGCAGGACTTAAAATGGGAGCCGCTATTTCTGTAGTAGGTGTCATTACTATACCATGACGAGGACTTACACAGGAGCCTTTATTTCCTTAGCACGCTTCCAGAACGCGCCAGAACCCCCATCATTCGCCATGGTGGTTGCAGTTCCAGTTCCCCCTTGTCTGCCCAGGCTGGTCAGCTCAGAAAATTCCCTAGACTGCCCGACGGGGACTGGCTCAGGAGTGAAAGAGTCAGATATTTCCCGCGGATCTTGGTCTGAGCTGGGACTGACGTTAGCTGACGCGGCAAGGAGCGGAATATTGACTGAAGTAGAGGCACGGTGCGGATCTGGTCCTGACAATTGGGAGAGGGGGAAGGTGGAGGGGGAGGGGCGGCAGAGGAAAGAGGGCTCTTGAGACGTCTCTAAAGTCTATTACTGATGCTGGCTGACGGGGCGCGAAGGAGAGGGATGCTGAGTGCTGTAGAGGCACGGTGCGGATCTGGTCCTCCTGACAATTGGGAGAGGGGGAAGGTGGAGGGGAAGGTGGAGCGAAGGTGGGGCGGAAGGTGGAGCGAAAGGGGAGGGGAAGGTGGAGCGGAAGGGGGAGGGGGAGGGGCTTGCTGACAGGGCGAAGGGGGAAATGCTGACTGTAGTAGAGGCACGGCGCGTATCTGGACATGAGAACTGGGGGAAGGGGAAGGGGGAATGGAGGGAAGGCATCAGACACATCTTGATTAAGGTTTCTCAAAAAGAGGGGAATGTTGGGGATGCGGATGTGGACAAAAGAACTGGGAGGGGGAGGAGGGAGGGGAAGGGTGGAGGAGGGGAAGGGTGGAGGAGGGGA